ATATTCGCATTTACATGAGAAAACAATAAGTTTATATGGTCCAGCAAGAARCGGATAAGGTGGCAGTGTGTGCAACGGAACAATGTATAACCGCAAAATTGCAGAATCGACCACATCAACTAAGTCTAAACCAWTTCTACTTAAATTACTTGAATCAACGCGCATTTTTGCAGTTATTTGGCATATGATGTACCAATCTTCACAGCGATAAGCAACGCCAACTTCATTTAGCTATCGAATTGCCATTTCGCATTTAATTAACTTTCATATCGCAATATACGCCTATAGTGTAGGTTTAAGGGAACAAGCAGAGTGGGTGGAAGCGTTAGTTCCAGTTGCCATGACCAGTTAATGAAACGCGCATAAAATCCTAACGGTTATTGTGTTCAACGAAACGTTAAACGAAAATAAGCACTAAAACCGATGACTAAGCATGAAACAATAGATCGAATAACGATGCATTGTCGTTGGTGGTGGCGCATGGTTAATGAGCAATAGCCATATTTGCGCTGAGATAGTCAAGCGTTAAAGAGCGCAGTTTTATCGTTAAGAAGAATATGGCAATTTAACTATGGGAACGGAAGCACATATCATAAYAACACTTTAAGGAATATACAATAACCAGCAGCTCATACAGATATAAAGGAAATGTTATTACATCATTGGCTTAATCACTTAATATGTTGCAGGGTCGACAGTGGCTGATACACACGTTTTAAAAGCCGGGGAAGGCAAAATTCGATGTTATTTTCATTTATTACTTCAATATAATTTCTAATATTCGATAACAATTTCTCCAGACCATAGATCAAGACGAATTATCCCCTATMATCAAACAAAGAGTCCCACACTATCGACTGAGCTTCCCCCTCCTTGTTGATTTCGTCTATACTGGAACCTGTATTAACTGCAACAATAATGCCAGCTTCGACATCCAACGCAGAATAACTCTTGCAAACATCTGCCACTTCGAACCAAACTCTATAAGTCACTCATTATTCCCGTCTTGCTATATGTTGCAGAGGCATGGACGATGACAAGATCTGATGAGTCGACATTATGAGTTTTCGGAAGAGAWGGGTTTTGCCTTTGGGTCCTTTGCACATTGACATCAGCGAATATTGCATTCAATGGAACGATGAGCTGTACATAGTTAAATCACTCCAGCTCTGAAAGTATTCGAGGCAGTACCCACCGGGGGAAGAAGAAAAACCTCCACTCCGTTGGAGAGATCAGGTGAAGAAGGATGTGGCTGAACTTGGCTAGTAATTGATGAGGTTGCGATATGCGCTTTTCATCAAAGGTGCTTTTGAKAATGCGTCYCATGCAAGCGTCATCAAGGCACTGGARCWATGGAATTTGGCGGCTCMAATATGCAAATGGATAGAGGCTGTACTGCGTACTAGGATAGCTGAAACCACTGTAAGGGAGAGTAAGATTCGTCTTGGTACTACGAGGAGCTACCCTGATGGTGGAGTTCTATCCCTACTACTATATAGGCTAATAGTAAATCAGCTCCTTGAGTTGCTCGGTATTCGATGCCAGAGGTACGTCGAAGCATACCATGTTGCTCATGGCAGCAGGGGATTTTGGTAAAGGGAAAATAATGTCGTTTCAACGGATGAAAGCCTTAAACCTACATACTTCCAAGAGACGGCGTTACGAAGAGGGTAAATTTCACAAAGAAGTTTAGAGTTACTGTCGGCAGTAAGACGGAGTGGAGTAGTTTCACGCTTGAATTACTACTGAGGGTCCGCACAATCCACTGGTACACTGACAGCTCGAAAACACAAGGTGGCATTACAGCAAGCATTATGGGACCGAATACCAAAACTGTCCATACCAATGGGAAGTTTTCTGARCATCTTTAAAGCAGAAGTCTTTGCTATAAGTCAGTGAGCGGAAATCAATCTAGATCGCAACTGSCATATCGCTATACTCAGCGGCAGACAAGCAACACTAAAAACGATCTCAGATTATGAAGTCAAATCGCTATTAGTGGAAGTTGAACSGCCAATCAATTTGTAACYGTRTACACCTGGTCTGGGTAACTGGGCATACAGGGGTAGCCGGCATTGAGCTGGCCGACGAACTAGCCCGCTCTGCGTGAGATTACAACCTAGCAAGGTTTAGAGACATGATCAACCTGCTCCGAGACAAGTTCCATCTCTTCGTCGCGCTCTATGCTGAACACTGCAGACTCAAAAAGCACTTGTCCAACATGGACATAGTCTCAAGCGCAAACTGCCGATTTCGGGACATGGAACAGGAAACTCCAGAATACCTGACAGGGATCACAACACCTCAATCTTGCCTAGCAAGCTCCTGGAATTATTCAGATAGCTGGACTTTTGTGACCATATGTGATAAAGAAGAGGGCACAAAAGACCATAGGTCGCAGTGCAAAATCTCAGTTATTTTCTATCAGATATAAAGATAGATTAACATATAGCATCATAATCTTACAGCTCCATTGTTGTGTACTCAGCTATCCAACAACACCCTTAGCGCGGCGCTAACCTACTACTATACCTTACGAAAGTGTTCATTTGTTTCAATTGTGCACTTCTCTGCGCTCTACTTTGCATCTAGCCATATTATTRTCGTTCCCTTCAATGCTTAATTTGACGATAATAAGTGCTCCAATGATTTGCCTCTACCCTACCCGGAAGCAAGAAACCATTTCGATATTCTTAACCCTAGCATCGCATATGAAAATTTGTTGCAGCCTTTTGGGCGTTTAGCAAAGCGCGAAATTCACAAATAATATTACAATATAATCATCTTTGTTATATCTTAATGGGGCGTTTTTCGCGCTCAAATGCTCGCACATAATAGCATGCCATGCATATTCTTGTCAAATTGCTGGCTGTAAAGGTGGCAACTGTGCTCAAGCGTTTTAAAATCGCCAAGTATTTTCGCCAGCAAGTGTTCGTGGTTAAGTCGTCGGTTGCTGCTGCGGCCTTCTTTTGTTAACTGACGCGAAGTTTTTCGGAGAAGGAGTTGTACGCTTTTCAAATATGATGAAAAGTTGTGCAGATGCTGCAACCGCCCATGTTATCAATCGTCTTTTGAAATTATAAAGTCAGCCTATTGAAAGCGAAAACGCAGTTCCTCTTCCGTTATATGACATCATACGGATGCACAATTGTTCGTAAGAACAYAGACAAACCGACACGAAAATTTTCTCCTCTCTCGACTTCAGCACACGCTTCAACATACTTACATACATGTACATATGTCCGCATACATAGGCGATAAGAAATATTGTTATGTGTGTGTGTGTGTGTGTTATTAACGCCCATGGTGAACTTGGTAGGTTGAGTATCAATAAGCGCGCGTTTAAATTCCTCTGAAGAAGCAAAGAATTTCAACAGTGAAGCGAATAAACAATGCTTACACATACATGCATGCACATTCTCGTATGTATATATTTACATTTCAGAAGTATTCGGCAGGTCCAATGAAGTGTGAATACTTTGATAAAATATTTGACAAAAATTATAGAAAATCGTTTATGACAACTTAAAGGGTTACATGGATTTACGGATTTCAAAAATCGTTTTTTATTGTTTTATTAAATTCTAAGTGCGCCGTTTTTCTCGAAAATATGTTTTTAAAGTCGGTTCTCAAGATTTCTCGAGAACTACTCAAGCGACCTTCAAACAATTTTACACAGGTCTTTGAAATACAATTCTTAAGGGGGATTTTGAAAAAATCGTTTTTTTTTACATATTTTGAAAGTTTAGACTTTCAAAAACATGACCTTGGAAGGATTTTTCAAAATTCGACTTATTTTCGGAGATACAGCCGATTTTGTGACGCGACATCCGTGTTCACTACAATTGTCTCCTAAACTTTTTAGGCGTTTTTCTCGAAACTACTTTTTCAGAGGTGGTTGACATGATATCTCAAGTTCTACTGAACCGATTCCTTTGAAATTTGGTATATATCTTCTTTATACAATGCTCTATCGTGTCTGCTTTGGATTTCCAAAAATTTTGTTTTGAAGTATTTGTAAAAAATTCAAAAAGGTCGAAAAAAATGTTTTTTCAAGTCGACGCTATTTAGTTATTATTATTATTATTTATTGTTTTTTTTTTAAATGGTCAACCCGATTACGACATCCTTACTAATGAAGAAACTTCACGCCAACCAGGACGCAGGGTTGTTTTTTTTAAGCCCACAATCCAATTTTGTTTTTTTTTTCTTGCAATTTTTTTTTTTATTATATTCTCTATAAAAAACATATGAAAAAATTGAAAGTTAAAATTTTTTTTTTTTTTTTTTTTTTTTTTTTATTTAAAAAATGCGTCTAGTCCAGAATACCCCCTTAAAGACGATTTTTTTTTCGATTACAACTTTGAAAAGAGCAAAATTTCGCGAAATGTTGACTGAAATTTTAATACTTCATAAAAATGTAAGTCAAAAATGAAATTTTAATTTATCTTTCCTTCGTCCAAGTTTTAAGTTAAGCATCTTTTTTTCGAGTGGTTGCCGGGAAATGGCGTCGCAATGGCAGAATTTAAAATATGATTTACCAAAAATTTTTCTGTTAATGGTGGTTTCTAATGAAWTTTTTTTT